ATGCTCTGGAGTTACTGGGGTCACGGGGTGACACAGGATGCTCTGGAGTTACTGGGGTCATGGGGTGACACAGGATGCTCTGGAGTTACTGGGGTCATGGTGTGACACAGGATGCTCTGGAGTTACTGGGGTCATGGTGTGACACAGGATGCTCTGGAGTTACTGGGGTCATGGGGTGACACAGGATGCTCTGGAGTTACTGGGGTCATGGTGTGACACAGGATGCTCTGGAGTTACTGGGGTCATGGGGTGACACAGGATGCTCTGGAGTTACTGGGGTCATGGGTGACACAGGATGCTGTGGAATCACTGGGGTCATGGGATGACACAGGATGCTCTGAAGTTACTGGGGTCATGGGGTGACACAGGATGCTCTGGAGTTACTGGGGTCCTGGGGTGATACAGGATGCTCTGGAGGTACTGGGGTCATGGGGTGACACAGGATATACTGGAGTCACTGAGATCAAAGGGTGACACAGAGTGCTCAGGATGCACCAGTCACTGGGGTTATGGGGTAACACAGGGTGCTCAGTGCGCTTTGGATTTACTGGGGTCATGGGGTGACACAAGATGCTCAGGATGCACTGGAGTCACTGGGGTTATGGGGTGACACAGGATGTACTGGAGTGGCTGGGGTCATGGGGTGACCAGGGGCGGACTGACCATTTGGAAACTCGGGCACTGCCCAAGGACCCGGGGTCAGTAGGGGACCCCATGAGATGCCCCTGGTACCTTTTTCATAGGCTTTTTTGAGTTTGGGCAAGGACACAGGGGCCCCATGATCCCCAATTGCCCGGGGCCCCCATGTGTTGTCAGTCCGCCACTGGGGGTGACACAGGATGTACTGGAGTCATGGGGCCCACACAGAATGTACTGGAGTCAATGGGGTGACACAGTTTGAGAATGGCCCCTATCTGTTCCAACATGACTGCGCACCAGTGCACAAAGCAAGGTCCATGAAGACATGGAGGAGCCAGTTTGGGGTGGAGGAACTTGACTGTCCTGCACAGAGTCCTGACCTCAACCCCATAGAACACCTTTGGGATGAATTAGAGCGGAGACTGTGAACCAGGCCTCCTCCCCCGACATCAGTGCCTGACCTCACAAATGTGCTTCTGGAAGAATGGTCCAACCTTCCCATAGACACCCTCCTAAACCTTGTGCACGGCCTTCCCAGAAGAGTTGAAGCTGTTATAGCTGCAAAGGGCGGGGCCAACTCAATATTGAACTCTACGGACTAAGACTGGGAGGCCATTAAAGGTCATGTGTGTGGAAAGGGCGGGGCCAACTCAATATTGAACCCTACGGAGTAAGACTGGGGGGCCATTAAAGGTCATGTACGTGGAAAGGGGCGGGGCCAACTCAATATTGAACCCTACGGACTAAGACTGGGGGGCCATTAAAGGTCATGGGTGTGGAAAGGGCGGGGCCAACTCAATATTGAACCCTACGGACTAAGACTGGGGGGCCATTAAAGGTCATGTACGTGGAAAGGGGCGGGGCCAACTCAATATTGAACCCTACGGACTAAGACTGGGGGGCCATTAAAGGTCATGTGCGTGGAAAGGGCGGCCGACCAATACTTTTGGCAATATAGTGTATATATGATGCGCTGTACTGTTTTGATTTATATATATATTTTGGTTTTGTCATTCCTATTTTTGTGCAACTCTCTGGCGCTCGCCATCTACTTCTGATCACTTGAGTAATTTCCATACCTATGTGCATATGCCACGCCCCAAGTAAAGCTAAAATAATTTGTATTCATTTGTATGTGTACGCGCAAAACCCTGCAAAACCCTTTTTACTTGCACTTTATTGTATTGTATCTGCACTGTCATCCTTTATGTTGTAAAGTGCCGTGCAAACTGTTGGCGCTGTATTTATTTTATTTATTTCAGGTACTTGTATAGCACCGTCAATTTACACAGCACTTTACATATATATTGTACATTCACATCAGTCCCTAACCCTCAAGGGGCGTACAATCTAAGGTCCCTAACCCTCAAGGGGTGTACAATCTAAGGTCCCTAACCCTCAAGGGGCGTACAATCTAAGGTCCCTGACCCTCAAGGAGCGTACAATCTAAGGTCCCTGACCCTCAAGGGGCGTACAATCTAAGGTCCCTGACCCTCAAGGGGCGTACAATCTAAGGTCCCTGACCCTCAAGGGGCGTACAATCTAAGGTCCCTGACCCTCAAGGGGCGTACAATCTAAGGTCCCTGACCCTCAAGGGGCGTACAATCTACGGTCCCTGACCCTCAAGGGGCGTACAATCTAAGGTCCCTGACCCTCAAGGGGCGTACAATCTAAGGTCCCTGACCCTCAAGGGGCGTACAATCTAAGGTCCCTGACCCTCAAGGGGCGTACAATCTAAGGTCCCTGACCCTCAAGGGGCGTACAATCTAAGGTCCCTGACCCTCAAGGGGCATACAATCTAAGGTCCCTGACCCTCAAGGGGCGTACAATCTAAAGTCCCTGACCCTCAAGGGGCGTACAATCTAAGGTCCCTGACCCTCAAGGGGCGTACAATCTAAAGTCCCTGACCCTCAAGGGGCGTACAATCTAAGGTCCCTAACCCTCAAGGGGCGTACAATCTAAGGTCCCTGACCCTCAAGGGGCGTACAATCTAAGGTCCCTGACCCTCAAGGGGCGTACAATCTAAGGTCCCTGACCCTCAAGGGGCGTACAATCTAAGGTCCCTCACCCTCAAGGGGCGTACAATCTAAGGTCCCTAACCCTCAAGGGGCGTACAATCTAAGGTCCCTAACCCTCAAGGGGCGTACAATCTAAGGTCCCTAACCCTCAAGGGGCGTACAATCTAAGGTCCCTAACCCTCAAGGGGCGTACAATCTAAGGTCCCTAACCCTCAAGGGGCGTACAATCTAAGGTCCCTAACCCTCAAGGGGCGTACAATCTAAGGTCCCTAACCCTCAAGGGGCGTACAATCTAAGGTCCCTAACCCTCAAGGGGCGTACAATCTAAGGTCCCTAACCCTCAAGGGGCGTACAATCTACGGTCCCTAACCCTCAAGGGGCGTACAATCTAAGGTCCCTAACCCTCAAGGGGCGTACAATCTAAGGTCCCTAACCCTCAAGGGGCGTACAATCTAAGGTCCCTAACCCTCAAGGGGTGTACAATCTAAGGTCCCTAACCCTCAAGGGGCGTACAATCTACGGTCCCTAACTCACATTCATACATACACATACTAGGGACAATTTAGACAGTAGCCAATTAATCTACCAGCATGTCTTTGTAGCATGGGAGGAAACCCACGCAGGCACAGAGAGAACATACAAACTCCAGGTAGGTGATGCCATGGTTGGGATTCAAACCAACGACCCCAGTACTGCCAGGCAGAAGTGCTAACCATTTAGCCACTGTGCTGTATAAATAATAATATTAAGAACTCCAGATCTGTGGATTTATTCCTCGGTCAGAAAGCTCTGAAGCCATTGGATGAGCATGAGAGCCAGGCAGCTTGCATTTCCAGAACCCCTCAGGCACAGAACACTCTCTATGATATATTCGGATATACAAGAAGAACACTTTGCGTATCGACTTCCTCCACTCACGGCCGCCCCCGTATTTACATTATTTGTTCCCTTTTTTTTTTTATCCGCCATAAAATGTAGATTTATAGTTAACATCAAAGAAGGAAATGAAATTTGCGGTCCATATGAGAAGCCGTATAATCTGTCACTTTCCCAATAACAGACAGTGTACACTATGACTGCGTCATAAATCTCTGAAATTACATTTGCTGCATTAGGCTGGGAGTTTTTGGAATCCTCTTTAAGAATGTGTTGATTTCCCCGAGATCTGCTGCAGGGGGTTACATACAAATTGCTACAGTGTATGTACTTAGAAGTGTAATCTGCTTAGATTTTTTTCCCATCTTTAACATGCTAATGACATTTTTTTTTAAATAAAACACTTCCGTTCTTTTACATTTCCTATTTTAGATCCAGTGATATCATCACTGGGTCTATGTGCTTCTCTATGCACCACAGGCAGATCATGGCTGGTGGGAGAGGCCAGCAGGATGCTATACATAACTTCCTGAAAACACAGAACTTCACTCAAGAGCCCTCAGTCCTGATGCAAGCTCTGGCTCTTGGGAGGAATTATTCAGATATCAAAATGCCTTTATGGGTTCATGGGTGGGTGTCACCAGTGGCGTCCCTAGGCAGGTGCGGGGGGGCGCACTGCACCGGGTGACACCTACTGCACGGGGTGACACAGGACCCGCTCCACGAAAAGGTAAGTTGTAAAGCAAGCCGACGATCCCCGCAGGATGGATGGGATCTGTGGATTGAGCATAATGGATCGGACTCTGATCCATTATATTCCCCAATCTGCAGATCCCATCCATCCTGCGGGGATCGTCGGAGGGGGTGTCACCAAGTGTTATCGCACCGGGTGACACCAACCTTAGGGACGCCCCTGGGTGTCACTCTGGAGGAGTGGATGTTCCTAGGCAGACTGTATTTGCATGTGAAGCCTTCATAATAGAAGGAACTGAAATCCAATGATGGAAAGGGGTGGTCCGGGGACAGTCAGCCTGGGGAGGAAAGGGCTAGATAATACTGGATGACCTCCAGCCAGGAAATGATGCGGAACCCTATCTGGCTTCTAATGCACATCAACAATGCCCACGAGATGCTGAGCCTCCATGATTGAAAGAACTGAAATCCAATGAATGAAAAGGGCGGAGCCAGGGGTAGTCAGGGTGGGGAGGAAAGTACTAGATGATGCTGGACGTCTTCCAGCCAGGAAACGAGGCGGAGCTCTATCTGACTTTCTGCAGCTTCTAAAGCACATTGTGAGAAGCTCACAGTGTGCAGTAAGATCAGAGGAAGCCATTCCAGTCCAGGAGAGGAGCTGATACACCTGTGCAAGACTGAAGGGGAGGAGCCATTACACCTGTGCAAGACTGGAGGGAAGGAGCCAGTACACATGTGCAAGACTGAAGGGGAGGAGCCATTATACCTGTGCAAGACTGGAGGGGAGGAGCCGGTACACCTGTGCAAGACTGAAGGGGAGGAGCCAATACACCTGTGCAAGACTGAAGGGGAGGAGCCGGTACACCTGTGCAAGACTGAAGGGGAGGAGCCGGTACACCTGTGCAAGACTGGAGGGGAGGATCCGGTACACCTGTGCAAGACTGAAGGGGAGGAGCCGGTACACCTGTGCAAGACTGAAGGGGAGGAGCCGGTACACCTGTGCAAGCCTGAAGGGGAGGAGCCAGTACACCTGTGCAAGACTGGAGGGGAGGAGCCAATACACCTGTGCAAGACTGAAGGGGAGGAGCCGGTACAACTGTGCAAGACTGAAGGGGAGGAGCCATTACACCTGTGCAAGACTGGAGGGAAGGAGCCAGTACACATGTGCAAGACTGAAGGGGAGGAGCCATTATACCTGTGCAAGACTGGAGGGGAGGAGCCAGTACACCTGTGCAAGACTGAAGGGGAGGAGCCAATACACCTGTGCAAGACTGAAGGGGAGGAGCCAATACACCTGTGCAAGACTGAAGGGGAGGAGCCGGTACACCTGTGCAAGACTGGAGGGGAGGAGCCGGTACACCTGTGCAAGACTGAAGGGGAGGAGCCGGTACACCTGTGCAAGACTGAAGGAGAGGAGCCGGTACACCTGTGCAAGCCTGAAGGGGAGGAGCCGATACACCTGTGCAAGCCTGAAGGGGAGGAGCCGGTACACCTGTGCAAGCCTGAAGGGGAGGAGCCGATACACCTGTGCAAGCCTGAAGGGGAGGAGCCGGTACACCTGTGCAAGCCTGAAGGGGAGGAGCCGGTACACCTGTGCAAGACTGAAGGGGATGAGCCAATACACCTGTGCAAGACTGAAGGGGAGGAGCCGTTACACCTGTGCAAGACTGAAGGGGAGGAGCCAATACACCTGTGCAAGACTGAAGGGGAGGAGCCGGTACACCTGTGCAAGCCTAAAGGGGAGGAGCCAGTACACCTGTGCAAGACTGGAGGGGAGGAACCGGTACACCTGTGCAAGCCTGAAGGGGAGGAGCCAATACACCTGTGCAAGACTGAAGGGGAGGAGCCGTTACACCTGTGCAAGGCTGAAGGGGAGGAGCCAGTACACCTGTGCAAGACTGAAGGGGAGGAACCGGTACACCTGTGCAAGCCTGAAGGGGAGGAGCCAATACACCTGTGCAAGACTGAAGGGGAGGAGCCGTTACACCTGTGCAAGACTGAAGGGGAGGCCGGGGGAAGATTTAAATATTTTGGCTAGGAATAGTATAAGTACACACTTGTGCGGTTCTATGACCTGGAAATTTATTGTGATTCTCTATTATTCTTATCTGCTTTAGAGAGACGGACCAACCAGAGCGCTGACGATCGTGGAGGATCTGCTCTCCTCGGAGAAAGCGTAAGTACGGGAACGGGATTCTGATGTGTAAGATGCAATACATAGACACACAGATCACACTCCATTCATGTTGTGCTATGATTCTGCTCCAAGTGACCTCGAAGAATAGAGTCGTAGGTTGTATAGCCCCGCTAGGCTGCGTTCACAGATCCTTCTTTTGAAATGAGCTGCCTTGGATCAAAGCACTTAAAGTGTTACTAAACCCCGGACCCTGCATTCACTATATCCGCTCTCCCCGGACCCCGCATTCACTATATCCGCTCTCCCCGGACCCCGCATTCACTATATCCGCTCTCCCCGGACCCCGCATTCACTATATCCACTCTCCCCGGACCCTGCATTCACTATAACCGCTCTCCCCGGACCCGGCATTCACTATATCCGCTCTCCCCGGACCCGGCATTCACTATATCCGGTCTCCCCGGACCCTGCATTCACTATATCCGCTCTCCCCGGACCCGGCATTCACTATATCCGCTCTCCCCGGACCCGGCATTCACTATATCCACTCTCCCCAGACCCTGCATTCACTATATCCGCTCTCCCTGGACGCTGCATTCACTATATCTGCTCTCCCCGGACCCCGCATTCACTATATCCACTCTCCCCGGACCCTGAATTCACTATAACCGCTCTCCCCGGACCCGGCATTCACTATATCCGCTCTCCCCGGACCCGGCATTCACTATATCCGGTCTCCCCGGACCCTGCATTCACTATATCCGGTCTCCCCGGACCCTGCATTCACTATATCCGCTCTCCCCGGACCCGGCATTCACTATATCCGCTCTCCCCGGACCCCGCATTCACTATATCCGCTCTCCCTGGACCCGGCATTCACTATATCCACTCTCCCCGGACCCGGCATTCACTATATCCGCTCTCCCCAGACCCTGCATTCACTATATTCGCTCTCCCCGGACCCTGCATTCACTATAACCGCTCTCCCCGGACCCGGCATTCACTATATCCGCTCTCCCCGGACCCGGCATTCACTATATCCGGTCTCCCCGGACCCTGCATTCACTATATCCGCTCTCCCCGGACCCGGCATTCACTATATCCGCTCTCCCCGGACCCCGCATTCACTATATCCGCTCTCCCTGGACCCGGCATTCACTATATCCGCTCTCCCTGGACCCGGCATTCACTATATCCACTCTCCCCGGACCCGGCATTCACTATATCCACTCTCCCCAGACCCTGCATTCACTATATCCGCTCTCCCCGGACCCGGCATTCACTATATCCGGTCTCCCCGGACCCTGCATTCACTATATCCGCTCTCCCCGGACCCGGCATTCACTATATCCGCTCTCCCCGGACCCCGCATTCACTATATCCGCTCTCCCTGGACCCGGCATTCACTATATCCACTCTCCCCGGACCCGGCATTCACTATATCCACTCTCCCCAGACCCTGCATTCACTATATTCGCTCTCCCCGGACGCTGCATTCACTATATCTGCTCTCCCCGGACCCCGCATTCACTATATCTAGTCTCCCCGGACCCCGCATTCACTAAATCTGCTCTCTCCTGACCCTGCATTCACTATATCCGCTCTCCCCGGTCCCTGCATTCACTATATCCACTCTCCCCGGACCCTGCATTCACTATATCTGCTCTCCCCGGACCCCACATTCACTATATCCGCTCTCCCTGGACCCCGCATTCACTATATCCGCTCTCCCCGGACCCAGCATTCACTATATCCGGTCTCCCCGGACCCTGCATTCACTATATCTGGTCTCCCCGGACCCCGCATTCACTATATCCGCTCTCCCCGGACCCCGCATTCACTATATCCGCTCTCCCCGGACCCCGCATTCACTATATCTGCTCTCCCCGGACCCTGCATTCACTATATCCGCTCTCCCCGGACCCCGCATTCACTATATCCGCTCTCCCCGGACCCTGCATTCACTATATACGCTCTCCCCAGAAGCTGCATTCACTATATCCGCTCTCCCCGGACCCCGCATTCACTATATCCGCTCTCCCCGGACCCCGCATTCACTATATCTGCTCTCCCACTGTACACAGAACATGGAAATGCAATTATTTTAGTAAATATAAACTGCTAAATACCTTTTTTCATCAGCAGTATATAGCAGTCTCCTGACTTCTCTCAGTGTCCAGCAGAGCACTGGCTAAATCTTGTAGGAGTTTTCATTCTCTTCTGACTGTCCTATGAGACCGGATGACCCCTGACCCCCTGTCTGGACAGCGCTGATTGGCTCTGTGCTGATCACATGCACATTCCCAAGAAATAAAGAAAAAAAACTCTAGCAATACACACCAAACTGAGCATGTGCAGCTTGCCCCCAAGGCTCTGTTCTATCAACAGATGGATTTACGGACAGTAGAAGGGGAGGTTCAGAGAAGACAGGAAAAAACAGCCTTTTTACACAATGCAGGGGAACCTAATAAATCATAATAATAGTAATAACAATAATAATTATAAAAATAATATTATTTTTATTACTAGTGTTATTATTATTTTATTTAGATTTTACACAGATAATGACATATTTCTATAAACATCAGTTTATCAATTTATAAATTATTATTATTATACAGGATTTATTATTATTATTATTATTATTATTATACAGGATTTATGGCGCCAACAGTGTGCTCAGCGCTTTACAATATAACGGGAGACAATACAGCAACAATACAGTTCAATACAAGAGGGATAGGAGGGCCCTGATCCTGGGAGCTTACAATCTAGGAGGGAAGGGCTAGTGGTACAAAAGGTAGTAACTGTGGGGGATGGACTGGCAGGAGGAATAGAAGATTCCATTATTAGCTGAGGGCAGGATAGGCTTCCCTGAAGAGATCGGTTTTCAGAGATCACCTAAAAGTGAGCAGAGTAGGCGATAGTCTGATAGATTGGGGTAGAGAGTTCCAGAGGATGGGGGAAGCTCTGGAGAAGTCCTGGAGACAAGCATGGGAGGAGGAGAAAAGGGAGCTAGAGAGCAGGAGGTCGTGGGAGGAGCGGAGAGGACGGTTTGGGTGATATTTAGAGACAAGATCGGTGATGTAATTTGGGGCGGAGTTATAAATGGCTTTATATGTTATTGTTAGTGTATTGAATTTTATCTGTTGGGCAATGGGAAGCCAATGGAGGGATTGGCAGAGAGGGATGGAGGACACTGAATGGAGGTCAGTGGAGGGATTGGCAGAGAGGGATGGAGGACACTGAATGGAGGTCAGTGGAGGGATTGGCAGAGAGGGATGGAGGACACTGAGTGGAGGGATTGGCAGAGAGGGATGGAGGACACTGAATGGAGTCCAGTGGAGGGATTGGCAGAGAGGGATGGAGGACACTGAGTGGAGGTCAGTGGAGGGATTGGCAGAGAGGGGTGGAGGACACTGAGTGGAGGGATTGGCAGAGAGGGATGGAGGACACTGAGTGGAGGTCAGTGGAGGGATTGGCAGAGAGGGGTGGAGGACACTGAGTGGAGGTCAGTGGAGGGATTGGCAGAGAGGGATGGCAGATACAGAACGGTTAGTAAGGTGGAATAAATAATATAAATGACCAAAAACAAATTGGAGGAAGCTTCATTCTGATTGGCTGCTGTGGGCAGCACAGACATGTTTCCTGTGTATTACTGTCTGTTGATAATTGTTCATTTGTTTCCTTCCAGGTATGTGGAAATGCTGAGGCACATGCACAGTGTAAGTAAAAACAGATTCTCCTTTTTATATTTCACGCTGGTAATTAGTGTTGTATTTTTATATGTTATAATATGTCGGATTTTAAAGAACTGTTTTACTTTCTTGGTACCTGACGGCATTTTGGATTATTCTCGTATTGCTGAATAGCTGGCAGAAAGTACCGATGTGTTCCGGCTTGTCAGAGTTCAGTGCTGGCCAGAGGCTCCCATCCACCTTCATGTCCTGTATACAGCAATGACTTTTGATATTTATTGACTATAAAAACAGATTGCGTCTGACGTGATTGGTTGGACGTGGCCGTAGTCCAACCCGCCATGTTTAGGTATGGAAGACCAAAGGGACCAGAACTAACCTGGTTGCTGTTGCCCCCCCTATGGATAACATGCAGCCATTCCCTACACAAGTGGTCTCCAACTGCAGCCCGGGGGCCACATGTGGCCCTTTTCTTGCTTTTATCTGACCCTCAGGGCAATTTTACATCCTTTGATACTTACAGTGGGGCATAATCCCCCCCCCCCCCCCCACTGACACAAACGAAGGGATTCCATTCCATGGACAACCACACATAATTCCCTCGTACCAACAATGGGGTACAATTCCTCCCACTGACACCAATGATGGGGCACTATTCCTCCTATTGAAACCAACAATAGGGCACTATTCCTCCCACTGATACCATTGATGGGGCACTATTCCTCCCACTGACACCAATGATGGGGCACTATTCCTCTTACTGACACCAATGATGGGGCACTATTCCTCCCACTGACACCAATGATGGGGCACTATTCCTTCCACTGATACCAATGATGGGACACTATTCCTCTTACTGA